ACACCACTGTATCTATGCTCCATAAGTCCACCCCTAACATTTGGACACAGTGTAACCGCTGAAATTGATGGCAAAGCGGAATCCCTAACGCTCCAATGAGCAATGTTCTAAATCGATCCAAGCCCATCACAAGAGGTACTGTACCAAATTGAATATTCACCACGGTACTGAACTTATCTAGATGTCTCTTAACTAGTTCGTCCTTTCCCTGCAAGATGTACAACTGAGACTTGTTTCGTCCCTCCAATACAACCTGGACACCCCTTCGGACCTTCAAGACTCCACCTCCACTAGAGAATTTATACCCTTTTGCATCCAGGGTACTTAATGATATGAGATTCTTTGTCAAGTCTAGAACATGGTGAACCTGATCAAGTGTCCTCATTGTCCCATCTTTTAGCCTTAATTTGACCAGACCTAGCACCGTTTGTGGGAAACTATACCATAAACATGAGTAATCGTCCAGAAAAGCTTACTAAAAGAAGAATATTTGGGGCATCCCCTTGAAAAGGATTTGTTCTTAGAAAAGAACAAGCGGAAGCCCCATAACTTGCAGCAATTCGAAGTTGAAACATGAAGGAATGAGTTCGGACGAAGATATACCCCCTAGGAGGGTAAGGAAAAATGTGGGAATGGCCCTACCGACAGTTTTCCCTGGAGCTCGGCATCGACCTCATCACCACCACAGGAGAGGCGGTATACGAATGGCCGCTCAGTTATTAAGAGAGATGGCCACCATAGCCGCTAATATGAGGGATATTGCTAACAAAAACATGGCCATGGGAGAACTCATGGCCCAAATGCAGAGCCAAGGAGGCTACCCTATTCCTCCCTATGCACCCCAAGGACATTACCAACAAGATGAGGAAGTACAAAGACAAAGGGCTATCACCTGAATATAGCTGACGCGGAAGCCCTATGGAAAGGAGGTGAAAGTTGATATTTCCTCCAATTATGCTGCAGGCCGATCCACCGAGGCCTGGTATAATCAAGACAACTTTCCACCAGCATATGAGTCAGAGCAAAGACCTAGGAGGTCTAACAGCATATTTGACAGAATCAGCCCCGCAGAACCGAGACGCAGGCAAGACCAACAACCACGAGAGCCTAGATTAGGCAATAGCCCCCACCTCCAATGACTCATCAGCCAAAGAAAAGGCATGAAAATGTCTCCTGTGCTGCTTCGCCTAGAAATAGGCACCAAAAGAGAGAAAAAGGAGGCTAGGACCTAAGCTGGACCCTCTCACCAGCTGCCCAGGTATGAGGCCAAAGAGAACAATGACTCAGATGAGCAGCAGAGGTCCTGTGACTTGGATGACGACGATGAAAATATGCCATTTTCAAGGGAACTAAGGAATGCCCGGGTTTTGAGCCACTATGTGATGCTCAAAATACCAAATTATGACGGGAAAGGTGACCCGAAGAAACACCTAAGTGCTTATAAAACTCATTTGAGCCTTAGAGACACCACCCCAGCTGTAAAGTGTAGAGCTTTTCATTTGACACTTAGTGGAGCAGCTGAAATCTGGTATAGTCGACTACTACCTGGGAGTATAAGGGGTTGGCCAGAATTCAAGAATACTTTCCTAAAAAACTTTGCGATGAGCAAAGAGTGAGAGACCCCTATCTAGGGCCTTCAAGAGATGAGACAGGCACATGGAGAATCCCTAAAAACTTTTTATCATGCTCTACTGACGAAATGACGTATTGCATGCAAGTCACCAATCGTGAAGCTCTATCAGCCCTAAGAGGAGGTTTGAATATGAACACCCTATTTTGGAGAGACATGCAAAACCAAGATCCCACTACCAATAATGTCAGGTTTGAAATGATGAGGCAGGAGATTATTAATGAGGAATTAATCGAACTCCGAAATAGGACCAGCAAAGGCCTCTCACCTCAACAGAGATAGCGCGCCAGGGGAACAACCTCTCATTTGATGGACTGCTAGATGAACCCACCTGGTAATGGAAATTCAGGGCAAGCACTTGTCACAATCACTTTGAGCGCAATCCCAACGTTGGCATATAAACATGTCAACCCAACTACTACCAACCAACATGCAGGAACCTCACAACGGGCCCTTCGCTGAGGAAGAGACTGGGGCATAGTTCGAGGCCTAGGAATAGGCCAAATCAAAACTCCCAGATTATTGTACGGTCCATCACTCCTATGGTCATGACACCTCCGGGTGTCGAGAGTATGTGAACCGCAATCAGTGGGAACACCCTCAAGACAGGAGCAATGAATCGCCATAGGTGAACAGGCCCCCACCTAGGAACAACCAGCGACCTAGGCATTTGCAAACCGCTCCCCGCCAGTGGGATGTATCCTCCTGCCAGAGGGAACATGACTCAGAGAGGCCTAGAAAAGGACAAAGGCATCGCAGAAATTGCCATGCGCAAGAAGAGGCCCCTATCCACTAGGTAGATATCATATTAGGAGGCCCCTTCGTCGGTAGTGAAACCCGAAACGCAAAACGGAACTATGCCTGATAGGCTAAACGCCTTCCGCTAACCAGTTATATCGTGGACAGTAGCTCCCGAAGAAATTAAGTACCACCCATCATCTTTACCTAAGAAGACTCTGAAGGGGATCACTACCCCCATTGTGATGCACTTGTGGTAAGGGCTGTTGTGGCCCGGAATGGTCTCAAGCGAATGCTAGTAGACACTGGCAGCTCAATTAACATCCTGTTTAGGTCCACCTTAGATAAGATGATCCTGGACCACGAGCTAATGCCCACAACCACTCCTCTATATGGATTTATCGAAGATAGTATCACTCCGAGAGGAAAAATAACATTAGCAGTGGAGATGGGAGAGTCCCAAAAAAAATGAACTTCATAGAATTCCTTATTGTTGACAGTCGGTCAGCTTACCACGGGGTCTTGGGTAGAAGGGCCATAAGGAATTAGGAGCCGTCACCTCCGTCTATCACTTATGTATGAAACTCCTAATCGAGAATGAGGTGATAACAGTGAGAGGTGACCAAAGAGGGTCCAGAGAATGCTACCTGAGCTCCATTAGAAAGGTTGAACCCCGGGATGTACATGCCATCCTAACTGATGAGGACATGGCAAACGTCCCAAGCGAGGCCCATCAAATAAGAAGACGTTGACATGATCGACGCACCTCTAGAGCAGGAAGAACTATCCATGATCAATGAAATTGATCCCCATGTGATTGAACATGAACCCCATACAACTCCGGTTGAGGAGCTCGAAAGATTTTTAATCGCCCCCCTGGACCCCACGAAGGTGTTGAAAATAGGCAAAGGCTTTTGCAACGAAATGAAAGAAAAATTGAGAGATTTTCTCTATATGAACCTTGGAATCTTTGCTTGGAAGCATGAGGACAAGGTGGGGGTCTATGTCAGCTGTCACCACCTAAAAATAGATGCTAAGGTTGCCCCGCATCGACGAAAGGGAAGAGCCCTCAACCTTGAAAGATATGAGGCTTTGAAGGAAGAAGTACAGAAGCTAATCAAGAATGGCTTCATCAGAGAGGCCATCTACCTGAAGTGGGTCTCCAACCCAGTATTAGTCAAGAAGCACAACGGCAAATGGATGGTATGTATTGATTTTTCGAATCTTAACAAAGCATGCCCCAAAGATAGCTTCCCATTTCCTAGAATTGACCAATTGGTAGACTCCACCTCTGGGTATGAGCTCCTAAGTTTCATGGACGCTTACTCAAGCAATAATCAAATACCTATGTACCCGACCGATGAGAAAAACACCTCCTTTATCACCGACAGAGGCCTTTATTGCTACAAAATGATGCCCTTTGGGTTGAAAAATTCCTGGGCCACCTATCAAAGGCTTGTCAACAAAATGTTATGGACCTCCTCAGCTAGACGACGGAAGTCTACATAGATGATATGCTTGTGAAAAGCCTGAAGGCAGACGATCACGTGACACACTTGAAAGACACTTTTCGAACCCTAAGAAGGTACATGATGAAGCTCAACCCCCTCAAGTGAGCTTTTGGCATGCCTCTGGCAAATTCTTAGGATACATGGTCAATCAAAGAGGAATTGAGGCCAACCCTGAAAAGATCAATGCCCTCCTCGAAATGAGATCACCTCAGAAAATCAAGGAAGTCCAAAGCCTAACTAGACGAGCGGCAACTCTCAACTACTTTGTCTCCAAGGCTACCAACAATGTCTCCCATTCTTCAAAGTGTTGAAAGCTGAGAAGAAGTTTGAATGGAATGAGGAGAGTGAAGAGGCCTTCCAAGGCCTGAAAAAGCATCTAGGGCAGGCCTCTCTCCTCTCCAAGGTAAAGCCCAGTGATATACTTCAATTATACCTGGCTGTCTCCAATGAGGCCATTAGTGTAGCCCTAACTCGAGAGGAAGAAACCACCCAACTCCCCATGTGTTATACTAACAAGGCACTTCTATCTCCGAAAACTCGTTACCCCGATAGGGAGAAGCTAGCCTTGGCCTTGGCTACAGCTTCCAGGAAGCTGAGGCCCTACTTCCAGGCACACTCCATTCATGTGCTGACCAACTTTTCCTTGAAATAAGTGCTGCAGAAGCCACCTTAGGAAGACTACTAAAGTGGGTAGTGGAATTAAGTTAATTTGATATTGTCTTTAAGACAAGGGCAGCCATTAAGGGCCAAGCCTTAGCTGATTTCGTAGCAGAATTCACTAGTATACCCGAGATGGAAGATGTTATGGAACTTATGGAGCCCTCCACGTAGAACTTGTTCGTAGATGGTTCAGCTGGAGACACGTTCAGGAGCTGGGGTGGCCCTTGTTAGCTCAGAGGGCCACAAGTTGAACTCAGTTGTGAAGTTCGAATTTAAAGCCACCAACAACGCTGTTGAGTATGAGGCGCTCCTTGCAGGCCTCAGGTTAGCCAAAGAAATGCAAGTAAGGAGGCTACGTATCAACAGTGACTCCCAGCTAGTGGGAAGCCAAGTGAATGATAGATTTTCAGCTAGGGATAAAACCATGGCCTCCTACTTGAAGATAGTGATGAACCTCCTCCCATCTTTTGAAAAATTCAAAATAATACAGATTCCTCACATCGAGAATGCACTTGTAGATGCACTCTCTAAACTCGCGAGCAGTAAGGACTCTAAACTACTTCCAATAGTACCGATCGAGTACCTCCTCACACCATCTACAGAGGCCCCCAAAGTGATGTCGATTGAAAGAACTCCCACCTGGATACAACCTATCATAGCCTACCTAAAGGACCAAGTCATGCCCACTAACAAGGATGAGGCTTACAAGCTGAGGAGGAGTTTAGGTCATTTCCTCTTCATTGATGACGTACTCTACAAAAAAAAGCTTCTCCTCCCCACTTCTTCGCTGCATGGGGAAGATGAAGCCACCTACATTCCAAGGAAAATCCACGAAGGTGTTTGTGGCAATCACTCAGGAGGACTAGCCTTGGCAAGTAAGGTACTGAGGCAAGGATACTACTGGCCCACCTTGAAAAAAGATGCGCTTCAATTTGTGCGTAAGTATGACAAGTGCCAACATTTCTCTCCCATTTAGAGGCAACCCTCACAGGAGCTAACTGTCGTCTCTAGCCCATGGCCCTTCTCCAAGTGGGGCATGAACCAGATAAGTTTCCTACCTAAAGGCAAAGGAGGTGCGAACTTTGTTATTGTGGCCATTGATTACTTCACGAAGTGGGTCGAGGCTGAACAGCTAACAAAAATCATAGAAACAAACACCTCCAAGTTCTTCTGGAAGAACATCATATGCCGGTTCAGAATTTTCCACTCCATAGTTTCAAACAATGGGAGACAGTTTGATAATAAGAAAGTCAGGAACCTATGCGAAGAACCTGAAATCAAAAAGCACTTCTCAACGCCTCATCATCCTCAAGTCAGTGGCCAAGTTGAGGTTGTAAACAAGACAATCAAGCATGTTCTCAAAAGGAATCTGGATGCATCAAAGGGAGCCTAAGTTGATGAGCTGTCTCAAGTGCTTTGGGCAATCCAAACTACCACCAGAACTCCCACAGGGAAAACTCCTTTCCTCCTAGCTTATGGCACCGTTCTTTACATTTTACTCTATTGCAACTTATATGAATTCATATACGCATTCTACAAACATCGATTGGTAATTATTGTACAATCGTTATGCAACCATCTCGTTGGATTCTGAACATCCTCTCCCGCGCCTTTGAGCCCCTCCCATACCCTTAATTTGTCCATTTGAGACCGTCCACCTGTTTTAGAGTGTTGGACCAAACTTATATGTGTGCAGGTGGGTCCACTATCTATTGACAACATATTCAGGGGTCAATACGACTGATTCTTACAACCCGACAAGATTGGTTGTTTTCCATTACAACTCCACCTTGCTTTACCATCTCATATGTTTGAAACAAAGCACTATTGAGACACATATGATACGAACATGCAGAATTCAGAATTCATTCTCCAGGTTTGGATTTCCCATTAGATACAGCCAATATTATATCCCCATCATTCGAAAAATTCTCAACAATGTTAGTCTCGTTACCTGATTACCCCGTATAATTTGTATGTAAATCACCTTTACCCTGCAACTTGTCGCAATCTTTCTTAATATGTCCTTTCCTCTTATAGTAATAACAATACACATTGTTGTATCTTACCTTCGATCTACCCCTCCGTCGATCACCATGAGTAACCAGAGCATTCCCATCCTTAAATGTAGGATCTCCAACCAACAACTCTATCTTCTCTTTTGAGAACAATACGTCATGTACCTCCTCAATGGTCAGCGTATCATAACTATACAATATAGTATCACAAAACGACGAAAAAGAACTGGGTAGTGAACACAACAGGATCAAGGCCAGATCATCTTCATCATATTTTACCTCCAACATCTCCAAATCTGTAATAATCTCCTTAAACACAGCAAGATGGTCCTGCAGTAATCCTTTTTCTGCCATACGATGGGAATACAACTTTTGCTTTAGAGTCAATTTGCTCTTTAGACTCTTTCTCATGGACAACTACTCCAGCTTGAGCCACAAAGCATCCGTCATCTTCTCCTTCAAGATATCCTGTAGAACATTATTTTATAAGTGAAGATGAAAGCCTTTCGATCCTTCCGTTGTTTCTCCTCCATAGACAAACTTGTTGGCATCTTCTCAAAACCCTGCAAAGCATCGTTAAGATCCATCTACGTCAATACAACCCTCACCATTACTTGCCACAGTGAAAATATTGTATTGCAATCTAGCGGCGGAATTTTATACGTCAACAAATTCGTCTCTGAAAAATCTCAACCAAATCACAAAGTACTTGCAACCCGTGCTCCGATACCATTTGTTGATCCCAAAGGCAATGCAAGATTGTGATTAATGACAATTATGAAATATTCAAGATCTCACAATGAAAACAAGATTGAAGTAAAGTAGGAAAAAAAACACTAAGTAGAGGAACGATGAAATTTATTAAACCGACATTATTGACAGAAAAATACAAGACAACAATAATGCTTCTATAAAACTGAAAAAGGAGTCTTTTTATAGGCCATGTCCATTACCCTAATAGAGTCCTAAATGGTAAGAAATTAGGTTACAATTAAGAAAAATCATGAAAAAAAAATTGGAGCCCAGATTTTATTTCCTTAATTTTGGATTCAATTGATTTTCGAAATCTCATACATAATCTTGAAGAATCCAAAGCCTAATTTTGGGACACACCCTTAATAGGTTCGACGTATATACTAAGATGTATATATTCTTCTCCACAAGATAGTTTTGCACTAGGCACTCTCTTGTAAAGGCAATTTCACCATATCAGTTTCGACCAATTTTGCTTAGCAATTTCCTATTCATACTTATCACTATGACACTAGAAAGCAGGTTAGCAATTATAGCCCCGAGAATTGTGGAACCAAACATATTCGAATTTATCAGTTCTAGAAATATTGAAGATATCATTGCTTTAGCTTCAAATTGTTGGGAATCTACTTAACCTACACAACAAAAAATAAAACAAATTTTCGATTCCCACTACAGATCCCTCTGTGTTTAGATAGAAACTGTGATAAAAATGTACCTTTTGTAAGATCTGCAAACTCCTTTGCCATATCTTTGTTCCAGTAACTTGGATTTGTCCCCCACAGCTGTTCAATTTTCCAGCCTCCAACGTTGAACCACACAAAGAACAAGATTGCAGGATTATAGTTTTCTTCTTGTGCTAGTAAGAATAATGAATTCTCTCTACAAAATTGTAAACCCAAATTTGTTATTTATATAAGCCCAAACGGGCTTGGCCTGACCCGGTCCTTTATTTAATTAATTCATTTAATTAAATCTAGTCCGTGAATTAATTAATCCAATTAATTAATTTGGGCTTATAAATAACCAACCCAATTAATTAATTTATCCAACAATTGTTAAATTAATTAATTGACAAATCACAATCTTCCAATTCTCTTTTGTGTGCGACCCATCAGGTTTCCGATCACGATATCTAATGATGTGAAATATTATTTTCATCTAATCAAAATTGATAAATTAAAAGACCGTTTTAATTTATTACCAATTCACACTCGCCATCCTAAATTAACATCTAGCAATGTGTCAGGGCAATACATGTGACGGGAAATGTCCCGTGGTATGACAAAACTAAACTCGTTCTTTTACCGTGAAAATATAATCCCTTCATCAATATGATCCGATCAATTACGAAATATAAAAGTGTGTCAATCTCGATTATTGATCATATCTTTTACTCCACTATTAAGTCAATATAAGTCGAAAGTCTCTTTCGACTTATGAGTACACTTTGGCCAAGAATTTTGTTATCGACTTAATTGAATGAAACGCAGATCATAATTTCTTACTATTTAATAGTGACAAATCCTCTATTGGTCATTCACAACCTTCATACGATTCTTGACATACCCGATCGATGTCGTATTAGCGGACCTTGGCAGAGCAACATCCAAGACCGTCAGCCCTCATATAAGGTACCATGACGACATCAAGTCAAAGGACTAATTCCACTACCGAACGTTAGAGATTAACCACTAAAACTCAGATAGTTATCCATGTGTAATCTTTCGCTGGGTCTCCAATGTTTTGTTCTATAACAAAACATCCACGTATTCATTTAAGTGTCACTACACTTTAGCTTGTGAAATCAGCTACTTATTTCACAAGTAAAAAATGCCACACATGATGGTCTATCCATAATAATGATATTCGTATCTCGTTATTACATATGACTATGGACGATTTAAGATTCAATCATATGTAATTTATATCTCATAATCACAACTTCTTGTGATTAACAAATTATGAAGATTTGAATCTACGGACTCTATTATTTTATTTAATTTAATTGTATATTAATAAAATAATAGATCTGCCATTAAATTGTATTAATTATATATTAAGAGTATTTATGTCCAAGGTTGATTGGGCTTAGGGCATAAGACTTACACAAATTACCTTAGCACTTTTGATAAATGATTTTGGTGGAAACTTTAGGATAAAAATTAGTTGTAGATACCTTTTCCAAATAATATAATGCAGAAAGTAAGAATGATCGAGACTCTTGGAAGCAGAAAATCCTATAACGAAATGGCCCGCTATTAACTGCTACAACTTTATTAGACAATCATTCTCATATTACAACGATGGAATCACTTGTTGTACAATAACAAGCTACTTTCAGAACTCTCAAGTTTTACTCTAGAATGAATATCACAAAAATATTATTATAAGAACTTTTCTTATAGAGCTCAGAAGATGAAAATGATTTTTACTTTTCTTATAGAGCTCAGAATTGGATGTGCGGATAAACCCGCAAAAGAGAACATGTTCTCTTGATATAATTGAACAATTTTAGTTTATCCATAAGAAAATGAACTCTTTTAACCATAAAAAGTAGTATGTAATCATACAAGAACACAATAATGGATCAACTCAATGGACAGAAAAGGCCAAAATACTTCAAATCCAGAACCTTGTTCATGAAGCTAAACAAATTACCAAAAATCCCAATATCAAACCTTCTTGGCATGGGTGGAGTGACTAATTTGTTGGGTATGTGGTCCAAATTCAGTTGGATTACTTTTTGAAGAAATATTATTTCCTTTATTCCACACATTTTTTATTGAAAAAATATTGTTTATTTTATTCCACGCATGTTTTAGTGGTAAAATATTTTTTCTTTTATTTCACACATTTTTTATACTATTTCCATATTTAAAAATATTGTTAGGGTTTAAATATGTCCCCTATATATTTGATTCTTCTTTACAAGCTAATTCATTACTGAAGTTAGAATAATCGTGAGAAACACAATTGTTGTAATTCTTTCTCCACTATAGTTGAATAAAATCTCAAATTACTCTACCAAATCAAATTCTTGTCCGTGTGTTAAACTTGTCGCTGTGATCAATACTTCATGTTGTATAACATTGTTCTACCCCCAACAAGTAGAATTAGAGCTTTAGTTTTTGATTTGTTTGTGGTTCTTGTTTTTTACGGCAACTATGAAGTATGATATTTCACTTTTCGATTGCAGCACTAAATTCTCATTATGGTAGATAAAGATGTGAGTTGTTCCCAAACAAATGGATTTGCATGATGCATTGTTTGGATTTGATAAAATGCTCTCAATGTTTGCACGAGAATGGATTAAAATGAATAGTGATTGATAAAAAAATGAGTAAAGTTGGACATATTTTGGAAGATGAAGACCAAAAAGTTATATCTGAAAGTTGAAGGACCTCGGTTACAAAACTTAAGTAGTCAATCTGAATTAAAAGAGGAAACAAAGGCCCAATCACACGAGGAAAGATTAAATTTCAGCAATTTGAGATATCCTACTTGGACTAAAATTATGGTTCTCTATCCTCTTAAAACTCTATTTTAGACCTAAATTAGGTCTACAAACTGGATTCTTTCATTCAAAAATTAAGGGAGGCTAGAGGTACAATCTTGAAGC